ATATATATATATATATTGACCATTTTCTAGAAACGGAAGTCAAAAATGTTTTCACTTTGGAAAAAAAGTGATATCGCATTAATAAAATAGACTCTTAAAAATTTATCGAAGCAGTAAACAGTATAGATTAAAATTCAATTTTTAATTTTATTAGTAAATTAATTTAAACTTGTATTTTTTTCGGCACAAGTCTTTATTATTGTGTTAAATGCTTTACATTCCAGCTGTCTTTTATTTAAAAATTGAGTTAAATAATATTCTAATCTTGTGAAACGTACTGAAACTGGACATTTATATACTTGATAAAAATATTGAATTTTTGACAATCATAAATTTCATTTCATGTTAAGAATTGTGCTTCATCCTTTTTCCTGCAATAATACAATCTTTGGACAGGATTTGCAATAATACAATCTTTGTCAAAACATACTTTTATAAAATGTAAAATTAAACATCTTGGGCATTCTATGCGGTGCATAATTTTACACTAGATAGAGGCTGTTTATTATCGACCTAAGGTGTTTGACAAGGTTGTTATAGTTGCGCAACACAAACTCAATTCAACTTTAGGTGTCTTACTTTTGCACCTATTGGAAGTTGTTAATCATTGACCTTCAATATTTTATTTAAACCTTCAGATATTAATAGCCAACCTGAAGTATTTTATTTCATGCTTAATTTAGGTTGTTTATTATAGACCTAAGGTGTTTGACAAGGTTGTTATAGGTGCGCAACACAAACTCAATTCAACCTTAGGTGTCTTATTTTTGCATCTATTGGAAGTTGTTAATCATTAACCTTCAATATTTTATTTAAACCTTTAGATATTTTTAGCCAACCTAAAGTATTTTAGTTTATACTCAATTTAGGTTGTTTATTATGGACCTAACATGAATGACAAGATTGTTATAGGTGCGTACCATAAACTAATTTCAACCTAAGGTGTTTTATTTATATACCTATCGGAAGTTGTTAATTATTTGCCTTATGTATTTTATTTTATAACTTAAAATATTTATTAACCTACTTAATGTGCTTAATTTTATACTTCACAGAAATTGTTATATATTTACCAAAAGTATGCGACAAGGTTATAATGGATGCACTACATAACCTCATTTCTACCAATATTCTATTTATACACCTATCGGAAGTTGTTACTTATTTACTTTCGGTATTTATTTTACACTTTTAGACATTATAAGTGTTTTATTCTATACTTCATTGAGGTGGTTAATTATCTACCTAATGTGCTTGACAAGGTGTGCATGCCATAACTTTATTTCCACCTCAGGTGTTTTACTTTTACACCGATTGAAATTTATTATTTATCAACTTTAGGTTGGGAAATTATATCCTTAGCGTTAAATTATCAACTTTAGGTAGAAAATTACCAACTTCCAATCGGTATAAAAATTAAACACCTCAGGTAGATATGAGGTAAAATTACGTTAAATAGCAACCTTGGCAGATGCGATTGATTTCAATTTCAAAAAGACTTTATAAAAATACCACAACACCCATTTTTTGCAAGGGTCTTCATTTCATACTAATATATGAAAGGAATAAATAGCAAATTTTCCTTCTTAATCTTTATTATCAATTAGAAGTGTGATAAAATCAAATGATCTTAATGTGTGTACGGTATTCTAAATGAAGAAACAAAGAAAATGAATTCTAAATGAAGAAACACTACAAAGTTTTTGTTTTCTTTTGCATTTAAAAATAAAAGTCACTAGTTTAATATGTTTATAACTTAATTCTTCTAAAATGTAGAAGAATAATTTTCATTTCTACAAAGAAACGTTTTTATATTTGTAAGAATTATTTATTTGACTCTAATATATTCCTTTAAATTTTTTTAATAAACAAGTATTAAACTCTTTCAAAGCGCAACTTATTTTGGCGAGATTTTAAATCATGTAAATTAACACGAAGAATGCAAATAAATATCTAAGGGGTGTTCGTTTGTCTTTTTTTTATTTCTACTCCCAAAGTGCTCCCTTATCAGCAAAGGAATTTCGATTGTTGCACAAGGAATGTCGGAACAGCCTGGGGCTTTCGAAGGGAATTTGAATAAGAACATCAAATAAATTTATCTCTGCGCGAAACTGTAAAAAGTATCTTATGAAAATCGAGAAACAATGCCCTTTAGTGTGAAAAGATTTTTTTTACGCATTTCATTGCACGAATTTTTTTCTTTTTTTACTTTTCACTTTTTCTATGTATTGTCTCTTTTTTTAACTCTAAAATTAGAAGAAAAAGAAGAAAACGGTTTTTTTTTCATCACTTTTCTTTCTCTCTGACTGTGACAATTTAAAATGAAAGTGAGATAAGATAAAATAGTTCGCGTTTGATTGAAATGAAATTAGTTAAATCGTTACGCTTTAGAAAGCGAGTTTAAAATACTTTAAAATAGATTATGTGAATATAAGGAGTAATTTCAGTAAATGTATAAAAAAAATGCCGAATTTTTTTTTAGAAAGAAAAACAATAGCAGTGTTAGAATTAATATTTTTAATTCCAGAAAGAAAGTTTTATATTAAAAAAAAGGAAAAATTAACACGCTTGCAGTGTAATCTAAACAACGATAAGGTTTAAAATATTTATATGGAGAATGCATAAAATTTCTATATAGTTTTTTCATCACATTTCTTTCACTCTGAAAGTGACAATTTAAAAATGAAAGTGAGATAAGATAGAATAGTTCATGTTTGATTGAAATTAATTAAATCGTTACGCTTTAGAAAGCGAATTTAAAATTCTTTAAAATAAATTATTCAGTAATTTCAGTAAATGTATGGGAAAAAAATGCCGAATTCTTTTTTAAGGAAAAAAAAATAGCTGCGCATGAACGAATATTTTTATGCGATTAAGTGAGTTTTACAATAAAAAAAAAGAAAAAAACTAACACGCGTGCAGTGTAATCTGAACGTTAAGGCTTAAAATTTTTATATAGAGAATGTATAAATTTTGTTACGTGAATTCAGACTGAAAAAATGTACCATTAAATAAATGTATAAATTTTTTATAATATAATACTTTAAATATTAATATACATATTTCACGGTATATTCATAAAAATGTTATGGAGATAATTAAATTTAAATTGTGACTTTAGATTTTTTTGGTCACTCTTTTTCCTGAACATGACTTTCATAGTAGTCTCATCATATTAAAGATGAGCTCGGTTTCATTCCCCATATTCGCCAAAACTTTCAATCCGAGTTCATGATTGATGAGACTTTTTTTATTCCGAGTCCATGATTGATGGGACTTTATTTACTCCGAATTCATGATTGATGAGACTTTTTTATTCCGAGTTCATGATGGATGAGACTTTTTTATTCTGAGTCCATGATTGATGAGACTTTTTTATTCCGAGTTCATCCGTACAAAATGACTTTGATATTGAGACTGGAATCAATAGGAATTTTTGAGCCAGGTGACTTACAATTCTTGCTCAGAATTGATAGGATTTCTTTGAGCTCGGATTAGCTATGCCGAAGACATTCAATTCATGTCCGGGATTGGTAGAAATTGTTAGAGCCTGAGCATTCATGTGTCCATATATTTACAATCCAAGACTGGGAATATCTTCAACTCAGAGGATAGAGCACTCGCCGCCCAATGAGGTGACTGAGGGGTTTGAACACATTCTCGTGGTTGATACGCATTCTCGGCTCCCCGCTCGCACTAACGTTAAATATTATCATTCATAGCTAAATGATGAGTTAAAATCCGGTTGCCGTCGTGTCAACCATGGGAAGTTTTCGTGGTTTTCCTCACCAATTAATGCATATGCGAGTTAGGTCCATCAAAATGTCCTCCACGAAGGCTAGTTTGCCCTTAATGCTTGATTTAGAAGTGTCTTTGTCTATCGGGTAAGGTTCAAAATTAAAAGACTACGGATTTGAACATTGATATTTGCGGACTCAAAATTGGGTGGGCTGCTCAACGATGGGTATAAAGTAAAATAAAATCCATGTCCGGTATCAGTTTAATTAGTTTATTTATTTTTCTTTTACACTGAGCTCGTTTTTTTTTTCAGTTTTAGTTTGCATTGTAAAAAAAATAGACAAAACTATATATACAAATAAAAACCATGGAGAAAGTTCATTTGACATTATTTATTTTGAATTAATGACATTTTTTTAATTCTAATTTATTTATGCTTGATATTTACACATTTTTATGCTTAACATTTAAATCAGATTTTGAAATACCTGCCTCGTTGAAAGTTGTAAAAAAATATACTAACTTGGAGTCAGTTTCCGAAAACTTAGGAGCCTATTATATTAGGTACCTGCCGAGGCTTCCGGGCATTACCCATCTCATATTTATAATATACCCTACGAATGTTAAACCGACAATATTTATGTTCTAAATCTGTATCGATTCTTAAATGCCTGTTTAGTTTGAAGTTAGTAAGAAAACTTGATCATGAACCCGTTCCTGAAAACTTACGCTGGGCTTGGTTTTCGCTCATCTCACCTATAAAATATATATCATTCAACTGTCTCAGTATTTTTTTACTAAAATTTTCAATTTTTTCTTACTTATGATTTTTTATTTTATGAGCACAGATTAATGATCACCGTCTAAGTAAAATTTACTAAGAAACCATCGAACTATGATGTATTAAATTGAGGTTGGAATATAATAAAAAAAAGGCTTGAAAGTAATAATGATTTTTATCGCAATTACGTATCACCTTTCTTGAAAAATCAAAAGTCTTCTATAGTTCATCTTTTCACCATCTTTATCTGGAAGTTCTGATAAATGTTTTGTTTCATCATCTTCTTTCTTCGATGACACTGTGTGTTTATTTATCTTTCTCTGTGTTCCTTAAGGACTATGATGTTTTCTTTACCTCTCTCTTTTTTTTTGTTTTAGGTCCAAGGAATTGTTCTAAAAAGGAATTCCCATGTGCCAACGGACGCTGCATCCCATCTGATTGGCGGTGCGACGGAACCAATCAGTGTGGAGATAACAGTGACGAAGATTGCTGTGAGTAGTTACTACTGCAGATGTTATTTTCCCTTGCAATAAATTTTTTTAACATTGTTCTAGCAATCGGAAGATTTTATTGAGACTTTGCTTTCAGCAATTTCCAGAAATGTAGCGTTTGTTTCGTGTTCTTAATTTCGCCTCTCGCGAATAAATATTTCTGGTGCGTTGTTTTCTTACTTGCAAAATCAAAATCAAGTCAATTACTTTCTGTTGGGAAGAATGTAACTTTTTTTAAACTTTTATTCTTCTAGGCTTCTGAAAATCTTGAGAAGTAACTTGAATGATAGAATTTTTTTTTCTTCTTAAATCGAGCTATTTTGCTTACTTAAGATACCTATACTGATAAGTAATATTTTCATAGCAGTTTCAGCCCGATTTCTTAATAGCGGATACGGTTTCTTTGCAGAATTCAAGCATATTATGGTCGTTTCAGATACTTTTTAATTTCGATATGGTGTAAAGGATATTTATCCAGGAAAAATAAATAAAATAGTTTAAGAATTAAGGTAGAATTTTTTTCTTCTTAAATGGGGCTATTTTGCTTGCCTAATATACCTATACTGATAAGTAATATTTTCATAGCAGTTTTAGCCCGATTTCGCAATAGTGGAAGTGGTTTCTTTGTAGAATTCAAGCATATTATGGTCGTTTCAGATACTTTTTAAATTCAATATGATGTAAGGATATTTATCCTGGAAAAATAAATAAAATAGTTTAAGAATTAAGATAGAATTGTTTTCTTCTTAAATTGAGCTATTTTTCTTACTTAAGATACCAATACTGATAAGTAATATTTTCATAGCAGTTTTAGCCCGATTTCTGAATAGTGGAAGTGGTTTATTCTTTGTAGAATTCAAGTATATTATGGTCATTTCAGATACTTTTTAATTTCAATATGATGTAGGGATCTCCAGGAAAAATAGCTAAAATCGTTTAAGAAAAAATTATTTACTAAATAAATATTATAATGAACATGGCCTCATTTCAAAATTGTAAAATAAAGAAAAGTAAGTCCCTTTAAGAGGGATCAAGAGGGATCTTGTCGTCCTATCAAGAATTTCTGTAAAGATATCAATTCGATGGTTGGAACTGAGAGGCCGAAGCTCCCAGTCTCTACGCCAATAATTCTAAATTAAAAGTAATTGAATTATTCCCAACGAACAGTTAGGAGCAAGGGAAGAGATCCATGGTTGGCAATTTATCGAAGGATAACTTAGCCAAACATAAAGCCAACCTTAATCAAACAGACTGTGAGAATTAGTATAACCATGTAACTGAAAAAATTTTGCGGTAATAAATAAAGAATAAAGAGTTATAAATAGATATTGTTTTTCATTTAGTCGCGACAGTTAATTAATGAGTTTTACATTTTATTGAAATACAAAATTAGCAGTTACATTGATTGTTAAGAAAAGAATAAAATATATTAGCTTTTTATAAAATGTAAAAAAATTTTTTTGTTTAATTAGGTTTAAGAATGATTAAAAAATAGTTTAGGAAATATGTAATGTCCTTTGGGGCATCACAAATATTAGAAAAATATTACAGAGGGAAAAACTTCAAGAAAACTACTTCACTATTCAGTACCAGTAATATGTTTCAAAATATTAATTCTTCAAAACCATTTGCGTACTTAAATATCGAAATATTGTATTTGTATTACTAAAAAAATGCATTGAAAGTTTCANAATCGCTTAAGAAAAAATTATTTACTAAATAAATATTATAATGAACATGGCCTCATTTCAAAATTGTAAAATAAAGAAAAGTAAGTCCCTTTAAGAGGGATCAAGAGGGATCTTGTCGTCCTATCAAGAATTTATGTAAATATATCAATTCGATGGTTGGAACTGAGAGGCCGAAGCTCCCAGTCTCCACGCCAATAATTCTAAATTAAAAGTAATTGAATTATTCCCAACGAACAGTTAGGAGCAAGGGAAGAGATCCACGGTTAGCAATTTATCGAAGGATAACTTATCCAAACATAAAGCCAACCATAATCAAACGACAATGAATTAATGAGTTTTACATTTTATTGAAATACAAAATTAGCAGTTACATTGATCGTTAAGAAAAGAATAAAATATATTAGCTTTTTAGAAAATGCAAAAAAAAAAAATTGTTTAATTAGGTTTAAGAATGATTAAAAAATAGTTTAGGAAATTTTAACTGCTAGGAAAAATGTAATGTCCTTTGGGGCATCACAAATATTAGCAAAATATTAGAGAGGGAAAAACTTCAAGAAAACTACTTCACTATTCAGTACCAGTAATGTGTTTCAAAATATTAATTCTTCAAAACCATTTGCGTACTTAAATATCGAAATATTGTATTTGTATTACTAAAAAAATGCATTGAAAGTTTCAAATTTGAAATATAAAACAGGAACAGTTTTTTTTCTGTTGCATGAGATTTTTAGCACATCTTAAATACTTTCGTATCGCCGATTTTATATCAGGTTTTAATTGGTTTTTCTATCGAAGCTAAATTTGTCTCAGAAGGATAATTTTAGTTTATTTTTTGTCGAAATGTAAAGGGGGATGCAAAAATGTATAAATGTTGCTATAAATTTCAAGAGGAGTTAGGATACTGTATCAAGATTATAACTACATAGAAACCCATGCTAGGGGATCTTCACTATTCTGAGCGTTTTCTTCGAGTGCGTCTGAACAGAGCAAAATAGGAAAGTGCTCTTAGCTGCATACGTCGACATTTCCAGGGTAGGGGCTTTTATGGAATTGTAATCCTGATTATGTGCCCTAAATCCTCTAGAAGTTTGTAGCAACATTTAGGCATCTCCCTGTTATATATATAGCATTTTTAAACTTGCACATTACAACAAAAAATAGACACAGAAATGTCATTTTATAAAAAAAATCTGTAGCCTTAGGAGTAACACATTCGAATTAATCCGAAATCCTGAAAAATGTCTTCTCATCTCCTTCTTTCTTAGATGAATGATCTTTTTTCACATCCGTATTAAAAAAGGCCAAGTTTAAAAGCAACAAAAAATTTGTTGCCCAGTTATTTTAGAAACATATTATCTTAGTATCGTTTACCTTGCCACATTAAATATGTGATCATATGAAAAAGAATTCCTTGAAAGACTTCGTTTTTTGTTCCTTTTCTTGAAAAAAAATTTTTTTTTCTACCCTTAACTGTATTTTGCGCAATTTTTATATATAGCGCTTATTTTATATTCCGATTTATTTTTGTTAAGCAGTTTTTTTCGACATATACTCGATTGAATGTCCGAATGAGAAATTCAATAACTGCGACATTTTCTTTTTCTGTTGATTAAAATATTTTCCTTCTCTTAAAAAATATTTTGCGTATAACCCATAAGATAAATATAAAATAGTATGTAGGCTAAATATCTGTAGCAAATAGCACGTAAAATTGATAAATGTATTTTTTCTTACAAAATCAAATAGATTCCGTATCAAAAGGAATATAATTTAAAAAACCTCTAATTTTGCTTTTAATCAGAACATTTTAGTACACTAAAATGTATTTCGTTCTCTAAAATACGCAAAATACTTTTTTTGTGATATACGTTATTTCTAACACATTTTTGCTCGCGTAATGTCATATGTATGAATGGAAGAAATAGAATTTATAAAGAATAACGGAACTCTATTTTTCAGTTAAAATATATTCTATGTCTAACACACTTGGGAATATAAAACACTGAACGTAAAATATGTAAAATACGTAAAACACATTTTATGTAATAACACATTTTATTTATTTATTTATTTATTCAAAGCTAAGATTATGAAAAATAATCCTTTAAGTCTCTATTTCTATTTTTAGACAAAATATTTTCCCTACGCTAAAACGTATTCTCTGCACAACATAACCTCCAGCAATTCATCTGGAAAAGAAAACAATAGAAAAACAGTTTGAGTCTTTGATCCATTGACTTTTAAAGGGAGAAACAAATACTGCATAATAGTTTTCGAGCAAAAATGGTCTGAATTCTAAGTCCAAAACGAGAAATATTCTATTTTTAAAATATTCTAAGGCATCAATCAAGCTTTGGCCCTTTCACCAGTGACAGTTTAAAGAAACATTAATATGAGAATTTTGAATAAGAAGTGATGTATCAGTGTTTTATGAGATGCAGAAAAGAAGATTCGGAGTTAGCGATGCGATTTTTTTTTCTTTATGCAACCGAGAGATTTTTGTCCTGAAACAAATGAGCCGCAATATGTTTCCGTCTTCGCTGTTGACTTTCTTGCTTTATTCAAGGGAAACGTAGTCTTAGTTTTATTGGAAATAGACAATGTGGCTCAGGGTAATGAGGTTTGGATGAAGTAATTTTTTATTTTTTATTTTTGAAAAGCAATAAATGAGCCATTAAAGACAAAAAACGTTGAAGTGAATTTAAAGAAAAAAAAAGAATGTAGCATTTTTACTAAGATAATTTGGAAAACTGTGCAATTCTGTTGAAATCAAAATATTTTCCTACAATAAAATGTGTTTTGCTTTCTCAAATACGCAAAATAAATTTTTTATTTTACACATTTTTCGCTAGCGCATTTTAATTAGCGTAATGTCAAATGTATGAGTGATTAATATATGTGTCACTATCACTCTTATATTTATCACTCATATTATATCACTCATATTTATCGCTCATATGTATATCACTCATATATATATATCATGAACTATGAGTGATTATCACTCATAGTTCATTATATGAGTGATTATCACTCTCATCATTAACTTCATTAAACGACAAAGAATAAAATGGGCAGGCCACGTTATCAAAATGGACGAAAAAGAATCAGGCTGAATTTCAGATGGATGGATGGCCTAGAGAAAGAGCTTATACATAATGAGAACATAATGTGGCTCATTTGTTTTTGTCCAGAAACAAATGAGCCACATTATGTTCTCTTCTCTGCTGTTGACTTATTTTATTCAAGAGAAATGTAGTTTTAGTTTTGTTGCAAATAGACAGTATGGACCAGGGTAATGAGGTTTGG